CACAATTATATATAAGCATACACATAAACACATAAACACATATGCATATACCCCAATTTCAAACAACAGCACTCAAAGGACTTAGAATAATGATTGCCAGTAAAAATCTACTTTTCAGTTCACCACGGAACTTTCATCAGGATACGGTATCCTGATTAAAGTTGTTTGGTGAACTTAAATGGGCATCTTAATACTTTTTGGAAATTTAAAGGAGAGTGCCAAGCTTCCACAGTTTTTTATATATATGGAAATGCGGAGCCTGTAGTTGTAGGAGGGGTTTATCTGGCCTATAAATTCAGAGGCTTCAGAAGTTTGTTCGGTTTGGTCCGCGTTGGGCCATGCTATCACTGACATTCCACACGTATTAAGCCCACATGTGGCCTTTCTCTAACTAGGGTGGCACTAGCATTTCAGTACGTATTCCTTCCTCACTTGGATATGGCAAATTTCACTACTAATGCAAATATGGCTTATTTCAATCACAGCATCAAAATGATACTTCAATTCGGTTCATGCATTATGCTTACTGTATTTGAACATATAGTATTTTACAATATGCAATTTAGTTAGTCACCCTACGTTCTTTTGTATAATAAATTCTATGCCATATTCCATTTTCATATTTGTAGCTTGTAATAGTCAGCCCACATGGCCTGGGTTATACTTGCCAGAATTTATTTTTTTTAATTACATTTTTTTATTTATTTTTTATTGGGATTATAGTTACAAGGGTGTCTTAAAAAGCCCTACAGAACCTCTAACACATGGTACTGGCATTTAATTTGACTGTCACTAGCCTCACATTAATGCATGTTACTTTATGTTATTTTAGCCTTTGCCATTGCATTTAACACTATTCTTCCATACCAATTATGTATGTATAAGTCTTAACCATCCTCCTAGGAATTCCACAAGTATGTCTTATAAACGTATGTATTATATATAAAAAATAATACAAAAATTAAAAAAAAAATAGGTTCTGAACCGAACCAATTTTTTTGCCTATGCACACCTTTTGCCACCTCAACCTTAAAGGGACACTATAGTCACCTGAACAACTTCAGCTTAATGAGGTTGTTCAGGTGAGAACTATAGCTCCCTGTAGCCTTTCTCATGTAAACACTGTATTTTCTGAGAAAATACAGTGTTTACATTGAAAGCTAAGAACACCTCCAGTTGCAGTCACTCAGAGTGATGGAGGCATAATATAGGGACTTCTGAGTTGATGGAGGCATATTGGAATCATCTGCATACACCAGATAGCTCTCAAACGGAGAGGGAACTGGACAAGCATTTAAAGTACTGGTTATGTAATGTCAACATGTACTAAGGATTAAATTGTTAACTTTTTGCCCTCTTTTACAGGCCTACCTGAACATTGGTTTCAGCACGCCACAACCGAGTTATACCACTTCTATAACTCGGCTTATTGTCCCCGACTACAAATGGAAAGGTGGAGCCTGTGGGTGGGAGGGGTTTATCCAGCCTATAAATTAACAGGCCTCCCATTCCTCTGGGCTGAGACTTCCTGGTCCAGCCCACCCACCGCACCCTTTGTTAAGCATTGACTTAGTGGGCCCTCTTTTACTGGCCTACCTGAATGTCGGTTTCGGCAAACCACAACCGACTTATGCCACTACTATAACTTGGCTTATTGTCCCCGACTACAAATATATATATGTATATATATATAAAAGAAAAATATGATAGCACTCTTAGGTCTATAAAAATATATAAAACTTAACTTTTAATTAACTATGCAAAAAAAATCAACGTTTCAGTCTGCTAATCGCAGACTTTCATCAGGATTAATACACATACACACAGATATTCAATATATAGTAAAATATAGATTAGTAATTAACTTACCCACCACCACAAACATAGGGTCTCCCTGTCAGCTCGGTCTGGAGTCCACGTGGGTTCGGCCGGCATCCGGACGGACGTTCGTGACGTCATCACATGGTGCCGGCGTCATGACGTCATCACGTGATCAATCAGCCGGCGGCATCATGAGGAGTATGTTGCTAGGGAGAATAGCATCCTAGCAACACATAAAAACAAACACTGTATGGCTGGGGATCCATGTAAATACCACTAGACAACTTACACAAGATAAAGGATTAGGGATAATTAAAGAGACTTCTGCAAAGAAACCCCTAAATACTCTTCTAAGGAAAAAAATCCATATATTAAGTGGATAATAAACAATAAATAATAAATAACAGTATATAGCCAGCGAACCAAAATGAAAAAGAATCCTATCTAATGGCAGATATGGACAGTATCTATTATAATAATATGTAGATTACTGTAAAAATAGAGAAACTAGTCCCCAATGTTAATGTAAACATAATGTAAACCCCAAGTCCAAAAGGGCTATATCATCTCAAGTGCAGAGGACATAATGAATAAAGGAATTATTCTAACGATCCCTAAATACACTGTCTATGGTACAAATCAAACAGTCAAAATCCAATCCCTACTCTAGAATATACATATTAACAAAAGGTCGTTATATAGGATGATAAACCACTACCATCAAAGCACCACATATAATAACATACCTAGTGACGCTATACTATCCGTCCTAAACTGAAAATTAATGAGGACTATATACAAACATAACTGACACTAGTCCAGCCAAGAACCAAGGATAAATTGGACAGCGGTTGAAGTGGCTGACCCCCCGGGCGGGCCACTAAAACCATATTGCAAAGTAAATCAAACACAATTATAAAAAGGCAGATAAAGAATATTTTTCATTAAGTCCATTGGGATACACGGTTTGAAGCGTTCTGATCCAGAATAGTTCGCGTTGAAGCAGCATCTTTTTTCGATCTCCTCCCCTTCTCGGCAAGGGAATTTGATCGATAGCCATCAACTTCATAGAGGGCAACGAGTGTCCCAATTCCAAAAAATGCTTGGCCACCGGTAACTCAGACTTCTTGTCCCTGTACGCAGTTCTGATACTGGATCTATGATTACGAATTCTTTCTCTCAAAGGAAGATCCGTTTTGCGATGTATGTTAATCCACAGGGACATGTTAATTTATAAATTACGAAGTCACTTGTGCATGTTAATCGATGACGAATGTGAAAAATAGTCCCTGTGTGAGGATGGGAAAATGTCTTCCCCGGGATCATATGTCCACAAGTTACACAACCAAGGCATCGATAACATCCTAGATTCTGTAGAGATGTTTCCTTGGAATAACAGTGAACGGGATCTGTATTCACCAGTAAATCCCTCAGATTTTTATTCCTCTTGTAGCAGAACATGGGAGGATTCTGGAATATTGGAGGTAATGTGACATCATTTCTTAACACCCTCCAATTCTCCTCAATAATTTGTTTGAACTTAGAGGAAGCTGTAGAAAAAGTGGTAGGAAATACCAATCTATTAGATGATATTTTAGGGATGGATGTTTCGGTGATACTACGACACCTATCAAGTGCTTTGGTTAGGACGTGAGTTGTATAGCCCCGTTGTCGAAATTTCTCCCACATTATGCCTAATTGTTCCTGTGCTCGGCTCAGGTTGGAATTGTTCCTTAAGACTCGCAGGAACTGGGAGTAAGGCAAAGAATTTTTCAAAGGCTGTGGATGAAAACTGTTAGCCTGCAAGATAGTATTACGGTCCGTGGGCTTGGAATATAGTGTATAGGCTAAGTCTGCCCCTTCGCGTAACACTCTAATGTCCAAGAAGTCAACTGAAGTTGAATCCATAACCGCCGTCAACTTAATATTATCAGTACAACCATTGATGTATCGAATCATATCTTCTGCTTCGGCGATAGTACCCTTGAATACCATGAAGATGTCATCGATGTATCTGACATATTGCAGGATGTAGTCCTTGTAGGGTTCCAAAATGTGTTTGGTTTCATAACAATACATGTAGCCATTGGCATACATAGGTGCCATGGCTGCACCCATTGAAGTACCCGCAATTTGCCTAAACCATTCCATCTCGAACCTAAAATAGTTTTGAGAGAGTACTATTTCCAAAAGTTCTAATATGAACTCAATTGGAGGTCCTGTGTAGTATAGAGAGCTGGATAATATGGATCTCATTGCTTCGATACCTTCTTGGTGAGGTATCACAGTATATAAACTTGACACGTCACATGTCACCAGAACCACCGATTCAGAAGGTAATGTCGTCCTTGATAAGAGTTTAACAAAACTTGGAGTATCTTTTATACACGTCGATAAATGCTCAATAGGTTCCTTGAATAAAAAATCCAACCACTTGGCTAAAGGTTCAAGGACGCCCCCTATTGCTGACACAATAGGTCGACCAGGAGGTCTGTCCTTATTTTTATGAATTTTGGGTAGCGTGTATAGTACAGGTGTTCTAGGAGCCAGGGATCGTAAATACTGGTATAGTTCCATAGATATATAGTTGGAATGTAGGCCTCTTATTAAACAAGTATCAATACAGTGCATCACCTCCTTTGTAGGGTCTATAGACAATTTATCGTATGTGGTCTGGTCCGACAATTGTGACAAAATTTCCAAGCGGTAATCGGAATAATTCTGGATCACTATCCCACCCCCCTTATCAGCAGGTCTGATAACGATGTTTTTATCAAGTGCCAAGGACTTAATGATAGCTCGATCTTTCATTGTACAATTTGAATGGTATTGGTGCTTGCCTTTCAAATGATCAGTGGTTTCTTTTTGTACTGAGCGTAAAAAAGATTTAATCGAAGGTTGATTGGGTAATGGGTCAAATGTACTCCTTACCCGGAATTGATGACTCTGCTCAGAACCTTCCACTGTTTTAGATTTAAAAAAGTCCTTTAGTCTCAGTGAACGACCGAACTTGTATAATTCAACTTCCCAATCCTGAGCATTAGGTCTAGAGGTGGGAACAAAAGATAACCCTTTACTTAAAAGTGTGACTTCATCCGTTGTAAGTGATCGTGAAGATAAATTGAAAATAGGAGCCAGTTCTACTGGCGAGGTGGCCTCCCTCTTACCCCAGAAGGTGCGCCCCTTTTGACCACGTCTTGTAACGTGTCTCCTCCTGGTGTTCCGTGTCTGCTCCGAAACCTGGTCCGTATACCTGATACGTCTGGTGCTGCAGCCTCCAAAAAAGGCTGTGTAGTACCTGCTTCAATGATGTCACATTACCTCCAATATTCCAGAATCCTCCCATGTTCTGCTACAAGAGGAATAAAAATCTGAGGGATTTACTGGTGAATACAGATCCCGTTCACTGTTATTCCAAGGAAACATCTCTACAGAATCTAGGATGTTATCGATGCCTTGGTTGTGTAACTTGTGGACATATGATCCCGGGGAAGACATTTTCCCATCCTCACACAGGGACTATTTTTCACATTCGTCATCGATTAACATGCACAAGTGACTTCGTAATTTATAAATTAACATGTCCCTGTGGATTAACATACATCGGCAAAACGGATCTTCCTTTGAGAGAAAGAATTCGTAATCATAGATCCAGTATCAGAACTGCGTACAGGGACAAGAAGTCTGAGTTACCGGTGGCCAAGCATTTTTTGGAATTGGGACACTCGTTGCCCTCTATGAAGTTGATGGCTATCGATCAAATTCCCTTGCCGAGAAGGGGAGGAGATCGAAAAAAGATGCTGCTTCAACGCGAACTATTCTGGATCAGAACGCTTCAAACCGTGTATCCCAATGGACTTAATGAAAAATATTCTTTATCTGCCTTTTTATAATTGTGTTTGATTTACTTTGCAATATGGTTTTAGTGGCCCGCCCGGGGGGTCAGCCACTTCAACCGCTGTCCAATTTATCCTTGGTTCTTGGCTGGACTAGTGTCAGTTATGTTTGTATATAGTCCTCATTAATTTTCAGTTTAGGACGGATAGTATAGCGTCACTAGGTATGTTATTATATGTGGTGCTTTGATGGTAGTGGTTTATCATCCTATATAACGACCTTTTGTTAATATGTATATTCTAGAGTAGGGATTGGATTTTGACTGTTTGATTTGTACCATAGACAGTGTATTTAGGGATCGTTAGAATAATTCCTTTATTCATTATGTCCTCTGCACTTGAGATGATATAGCCCTTTTGGACTTGGGGTTTACATTATGTTTACATTAACATTGGGGACTAGTTTCTCTATTTTTACAGTAATCTACATATTATTATAATAGATACTGTCCATATCTGCCATTAGATAGGATTCTTTTTCATTTTGGTTCGCTGGCTATATACTGTTATTTATTATTTATTGTTTATTATCCACTTAATATATGGATTTTTTTCCTTAGAAGAGTATTTAGGGGTTTCTTTGCAGAAGTCTCTTTAATTATCCCTAATCCTTTATCTTGTGTAAGTTGTCTAGTGGTATTTACATGGATCCCCAGCCATACAGTGTTTGTTTTTATGTGTTGCTAGGATGCTATTCTCCCTAGCAACATACTCCTCATGATGCCGCCGGCTGATTGATCACGTGATGACGTCATGACGCCGGCACCATGTGATGACGTCACGAACGTCCGTCCGGATGCCGGCCGAACCCACGTGGACTCCAGACCGAGCTGACAGGGAGACCCTATGTTTGTGGTGGTGGGTAAGTTAATTACTAATCTATATTTTACTATATATTGAATATCTGTGTGTATGTGTATTAATCCTGATGAAAGTCTGCGATTAGCAGACTGAAACGTTGATTTTTTTTGCATAGTTAATTAAAAGTTAAGTTTTATATATTTTTATAGACCTAAGAGTGCTATCATATTTTTCTTTTATATATATATACATATATATATTTGTAGTCGGGGACAATAAGCCAAGTTATAGTAGTGGCATAAGTCGGTTGTAGTTTGCCGAAACCGACATTCAGGTAGGCCAGTAAAAGAGGGCCCACTAAGTCAATGCTTAACAAAGGGTGCGGTGGGTGGGCTGGACCAGGAAGTCTCAGCCCAGAGGAATGGGAGGCCTGTTAATTTATAGGCTGGATAAACCCCTCCCACCCACAGGCTCCACCTTTCCATTTGTAGTCGGGGACAATAAGCCGAGTTATAGAAGTGGTATAACTCGGTTGTGGCGTGCTGAAACCAATGTTCAGGTAGGCCTGTAAAAGAGGGCAAAAAGTTAACAATTTAATCCTTAGTACATGTTGACATTACATAACCAGTACTTTAAATGCTTGTCCAGTTCCCTCTCCGTTTGAGAGCTATCTGGTGTATGCAGATGATTCCAATATGCCTCCATCAACTCAGAAGTCCCTATATTATGCCTCCATCACTCTGAGTGACTGCAACTGGAGGTGTTCCTAGCTTTCAATGTAAACACTGTATTTTCTCAGAAAATACAGTGTTTACATGAGAAAGGCTACAGGGAGCTATAGTTCTCACCTGAACAACCTCATTAAGCTGAAGTTGTTCAGGTGACTATAGTGTCCCTTTAAGGTTGAGGTGGCAAAAGGTGTGCATAGGCAAAAAAATTGGTTCGGTTCAGAACCTATTTTTTTTTTAATTTTTGTATTATTTTTTATATATAATACATACGTTTATAAGACATACTTGTGGAATTCCTAGGAGGATGGTTAAGACTTATACATACATAATTGGTATGGAAGAATAGTGTTAAATGCAATGGCAAAGGCTAAAATAACATAAAGTAACATGCATTAATGTGAGGCTAGTGACAGTCAAATTAAATGCCAGTACCATGTGTTAGAGGTTCTGTAGGGCTTTTTAAGACACCCTTGTAACTATAATCCCAATAAAAAATAAATAAAAAAATGTAATTAAAAAAAATAAATTCTGGCAAGTATAACCCAGGCCATGTGGGCTGACTATTACAAGCTACAAATATGAAAATGGAATATGGCATAGAATTTATTATACAAAAGAACGTAGGGTGACTAACTAAATTGCATATTGTAAAATACTATATGTTCAAATACAGTAAGCATAATGCATGAACCGAATTGAAGTATCATTTTGATGCTGTGATTGAAATAAGCCATATTTGCATTAGTAGTGAAATTTGCCATATCCAAGTGAGGAAGGAATACGTACTGAAATGCTAGTGCCACCCTAGTTAGAGAAAGGCCACATGTGGGCTTAATACGTGTGGAATGTCAGTGATAGCATGGCCCAACGCGGACCAAACCGAACAAACTTCTGAAGCCTCTGAATTTATAGGCCAGATAAACCCCTCCTACAACTACAGGCTCCGCATTTCCATATATATAAAAAACTGTGGAAGCTTGGCACTCTCCTTTAAATTTCCAAAAAGTATTAAGATGCCCATTTAAGTTCACCAAACAACTTTAATCAGGATACCGTATCCTGATGAAAGTTCCGTGGTGAACTGAAAAGTAGATTTTTACTGGCAATCATTATTCTAAGTCCTTTGAGTGCTGTTGTTTGAAATTGGGGTATATGCATATGTGTTTATGTGTTTATGTGTATGCTTATATATAATTGTGTGCGTGTTTATGTATGAAGTGTGTATATACATGCATATACATATGTATATGTGAATAGGTGTATGTGTATATATACATATATATGGGTCTATGTATGTGTAGGCACATTTGTATTTTTATAGGTACATGTATTGGTGCTTGTGTGTGCATAGGCGTGCATACGGGGTGTGCCAGGTGTGCCTGGGCACACCCTAATCATGCCTCCGTGCTGCACTGCTGTCGATTTAGGCGGCCTTATGGCACCTAATTCACTTTAGGGCAAACTAACATGTTGTGTCACCCGACACAGGAGGGGACCCGGCAGCTTGCCCACAATGCCGCTGGGTGTGAGGCCCCTCCTGTCAGCCTGCCCTGATGGAGAGCCATGTTTCAGTCCGCCGGGAGTGAGCTGCAGACTGAGGTGTCTCGTGATCTTCAGCCTGTCAGAGCATTGCCGCAGGTTACCACTGCAATGCTCTGACTGACTGGAGATCAAGAGACTCACCATGTGGTCTACAGCTCACTCCCGGCGTAGCTGCAGACTGAAGAGAGAGGGCACACACTGGACCATCAGGGAAGGTATTAATAACCCCCTCTACCCCCTGTCACTGCCCTTACTCCCTTTCACTGCCCCTCACCCCCCACCCCCTGTCACTGCTTCTTCACCCTCCTACCCCTGTCACTGCCCCTCCACTCCCTGTCACTGCCCCTCCAACCCCCCTAACCCCTGTCACTGCCCCTCTACACCCCTAAACCCTGTGCCCCTCCACCCCCTGTCACTGCACCCCCACCCCTCAACTCCTGTCACTGTCCCTCTACCCCCAATCCCTGTCACTGCCACTCTACTGCCCTCCAGCCCTGTCACTGCCCCTCCACCCCCTAACCCCTGTCACTGCCCCTCCACCCCCCTACCCCATGTCACTGCTCCTCCACCCACCCCACCCCATGACACTGCTTCTCCACCCCCGACCGCCTGTCACTGCCCCATCACCCCTTCTCACTGCTCCTGCCTGTCACTGCTCCTCCCCCTCACCCTCTGTCACTGTTCCTCCCCCTCACCCTGTCACAGCCCCTCCACCCCTCACCCCCAGTCACAGCCAGTTCACCCCCCACCCTGTCACATCCCCCTTCACACATCCTGTCATCCCCACAGACACACCCTGTCACCCCTACCCACACCCTGTCATCCCCATGGACACAACCTGTCACATCCCCCCTCCACACACCCTGTCACCCGCACCCAGTTATCACCAAAGACACACCCTGTCACATCGCCCCTCCACACACCCTGTCACCCCCACCCAGTTATCCCCACAGACACACCCTGTCACATCGTCCCTCCACATACCTTTTCACTCCCACCCACAGCCTGTCATCCCCACGGACACACCCTGTCACATCCCCCCTCCACATACCCTGTCACCCCCACCCAGTTAACCCCACAGACACACCCTGTCACATCACCCCTCACACACCCTGTCACACCCACCCAGTTATCCCCACAGACACACCCTGTCACATCCCCCCCCACACACCCTGTCACCCCCACCCAGTCATCTCCACGCACACACACCCTGTCACAGCCCTCCTCCACACAGCCTGTCACCCACACCCTATCATCCCAGCGAGCTGCAGAGGTGAAGGTTGAGAGCCCCTACAGTACCACCGGACCACCGGGGAATATGCTGACCACCTCTCCTCCCTGGATGCAGGTAAGAAACAAGGAGGGAGGAGGGGGGT